ATTATAGGAACCATTCCCATAATTATAGTAACGTTTCCCATAAATTATGTGTATAATTTCCATAATTTAAGTAATCGCTCCTAAAATGGTATAGGAAAATATTTCATTAAAATTATAGGAATGATTTCCACATTTTTCTCTCCGTGTAGAAAAATTTTATTTATAATATCCAAAAACAACTTTTGATCGTATTAAAAATTTTAAAAATTAATTTTTTTTCTTAATAAAAATTCTAAATAATGAATTTTGACATTAATTTTAAAGCTTTAAATGGTAACAAAAAATATATAATTAGTAAAAATCATTAATAAAATGTGTCTTCTTAAATCTAGTGATTTTTATTTCGTATTGTAAGGATAAAAATTTTTCTTTTTTAAAAAATGTCAAATTTTTGATAAAAATTTTTCCTATCGAAAAATTGACTAAAAAAAATTTTTTTTTTTTCAATTGTTACATTTTTAATGAGCTTTTTAGATTTCTTCAATTGCCAATTGAGAAAAAAAAAATTAATATTTAAAAATTGAAGTTCAAAATAACCATGAGCCGTAGTTATAAAAACTTAAAAACAATTATTAAAAAAGCGCTATAAATATCTCAATAAAAGATTAAAAGGTTAATAATATAAAATTGAGTATAGAGTATATCGTATTCCATAAATCTGGGATTTAAAATATCAAAACATATAATAATAATATTTAAGTAACTTTAAAATGTTATCACGGAGTCACAGTGTCTGAAGAACACATCTGGTGTGGCTTGTTGTCTTGTCGGCACGTCTTTATCCAAAAGAGGTTTAAAAAACGTCTAAAACAGCAACAAAATAAAAATAAAAATAACAACAGCTAAAGCAAGCGAGGGAGGGCAAATTTTTTAGCAGACGCGTAATGAGTCGGATCCTTTGACGATAAAATTGAAATAAGACATCCATCAGCCAGAATTGGATGAAAGTAAGTATAAGGGGAGATTAAAATTCAAATATTATTTTTTATTCTTTTTCTTAATCAACAAATTTGTTTTATCTAACGCTTATTGCTTCTTGCTCTTTACTTTTGATATATTTATAGTTATTTTATTACGTTTATATATTATATTTTATACATTTATACATCTACACATTGATACGCTGCACTGAGTGGAGAAGCGAGTTATCTTTACCGAAGCTTTTAAAAAAGCATTTATAAATTTTTATAACCGTGAATATGTCGTGATCGCGTGTCACGAGTGCATTTCACCCGAAACCAGACATATATCTTTTTGGACATCCAATTTGCTAACACGTCACGCTCAAGGTGTTGGATTTTTATTTCCTTCGGCTTGTAAAATAGTCAAAAATATTAGAAATTTTTTTTTTATTTTTTGTTTATGAATTATTTATTTTTTTTTAACGTCTTAAAGAGCCTATATTCATTTATAGATAATAGAGTTGTCGTTTATGGATTTTATACCGGGCATTATCGTTACTTTGACATTATGATATGTTAACGAGCTGAGAAAATTTTTCCTTTTATTAAAAACCACTTTGCCATTATTTTTATTAGCTGATAGTCCGACTAGTAATGCACTTTGATTGTTTTTTTATTTAAATGTTCTCTATAATTTACTACTTTTCTGTGAAATAATCCATTTTTTTCTCACAACAAGCATTCAAATTTTCTCTAGAAAATTCTCAAAATTTAGTACATGTTTTCATTGATTTCCCCACTAGGGTCTATTTTTAATTTGGAAATATTTATTCTTTGAAAAAATCAAAAATTTCCACCATCAACTTCAAAATTTTTAATTAGATTTCTGAAAAAATCTCCAAAATTCTCTTGCTTTTTTTCGAAAATATCTTAAATCACATATTTGATACATAAAAATTCTTTTGAATTTTCTTTATTAAAAAAAAAACCATTCGGAAGCCAAATTGGTAAAAGGTTTCTCAAAATTACTAAAAACTTGCAGAATCTTCAAAATAAATGCAATATTAAAATTTTATTAAACTTGATAAAATATTATATGCAGTTTTTAATCTAAAAAAAAGTACATGTGGAAATTGAAGAGTATATTTATCGAGTTTTCAGATCACTTTTACAAAAATTTGATGTCAATGCGTTCAGAAGATATTTCAATAAGAACCAGTAAAGGTTTGATAGTTTTCATTTTTTTTTTTTAATTTTTAAATTCAAAAAATTTCAATTTTCCAATAATGCAAATTTTTTTCGTAAGTAAACGTTTTTTGCAATAATAATATCACAAAATTATAAACTTTTCATATCAAAATATTCAACTACATTATTTTCATATTTATTTTATATTTATTTCTACACAGAAAAAATAATTAACTTGAATGAAGTGAAAAATTTTTGAACCAAGTAAAACTTATTTAAGCCAAGAAAAATTTCTTGGTTTAAGAATTTTTTTACTCAAATCAAGAAGATTAAATTCTTTAAAATAATTTACTTGATTCAAAAAAAAATTTTTTCCGTGTAGTTCAATATGAATTTTGAATTATCAAATTTTTTATAAATTACTTTTTTTCATTGCTTTAATTTTTATTCTGTTATTATAAAGTATAGTAAAGCTTAAGATATATATTTCGACCATAAAGAAAACTCGACTATAAAGAAAACTCCATAAAGATCGGTTTACTTTTTTTTCTGTCATGAATTTTTATTAGAAAACAAGAATTTTACATATTAGATTAAAACATTCTGATAATAAATGTATTAGAAAATCATTATTAAAAAAAAAAAAAATTTAAGGATCAAAGGCATCAAATTTTTTTTTAATTTTTGCAAGTTAAATACTTTGTTTATTTTTCTACTATCAACTACTTTTTTTAACATTTATTTCAATGAATGACAGTACACTTGGTTAATCTATTAAAAAAAAAGCCTTAAAAATTTTCAAATGTCTGTCAATTTCAATTCCATTAATTTCCCTAAATTACCACAACAAAACCATGTTCAAGCCCAAAATCACCAACTTAAACTCCACGATCCAAACCACAAAAACCATTCCAAAAATTTCCAATCCCACCAGAATTTCCCGTGAATCACCTCCAAGATTTACAACCTAAAGCACATCCTGTTGACTACAACCCAGAACTAACTCTTCACCCCTGTCCCACCTTTCCCTCCACAACTATATAAATCCAAATACCCTGAAGATATCGTCTGTGGCCATAAAACCCGCGACCTCTCGGTAACCCGAGCCGTCTCTCAATAATCCCAAAGGAAATAAATCCACTTACCCCAGTATCTGATTGTAAATTCCTCCTATCGTAATCCTCATCGCGCACTCGAATTTTCATCGGCTTTTCCCTGAAACTCGAATTTTCGAATCCTTTTTCCTTTCTAAACTCTTCACTGGAACTCACACTCCTCACCTCCTTTCTCACCACCCCCCTGCTCCCATTTACATTAATATTTCTATACTCGCGCTTAGCACCCTTGTAAAAATAGTTATTGTCTTCCATTTTCATAAAATCTTTATCATCAAAACTTTTGTCCTCTTCATCGTCTTCTTCCTCTTCATCATCGGCCTCATCAGTCTCCTTCCAAATATCTTCTTCCTCGTTATCCTCCTCCTCCTTATCAACCTCCTTATCCTTTTCATGGACAAAATTAACATTATTATTATTATTATTATTATTACCCGTTAGATTGTGCTTCTTTTTGTGGTCCCTATCAAATTCAAACTCCTCTTCAGAGTCATAATCCGGGATTTTCCTCCCAGTTTGTCTCCTCACCCCATAACCCTTTCTTGGACCAAAAGAAGGCCTCCTCTTTACGAAATCTTTTCTGTGCCTTCTGGGAATCTCCAATTCCTCTACTTTGAAATTACGATTACGATTATGATTATGGTTGTGATTATGGTTATAATTATAATCCTCGTCGTAATAATCCGGCTCGAAATTCCTCTCGCGGACAAAAAATCTCCTACGATTCAACCTTGAACCGCGATAATTCGCGAACCGCGAATGATCCCGGAACCGGCGACGTCGCGGTCTCACTTCGTAATCTTCGTAATTGTAATCTTCTTCTAAGGACTCGTAGTCCTCTGGATAATCGGAGTCCTCGTAGAGCTCCTCGTAAGCCAGAGTGTCCTCGTAGAGAGGAGGAGATTTTTTTCCCTCATGCTGCGAATTCGCATTGTGCCGGTGGGAGACCGAATTAAGGGAGGAGGATGAGGGTGAGTGGTGCCGATGACGGTGACGCCGGGGAAGGACCTCGGTGTGATGATACCGGGCGTGGGTGTCGATTATCACGGAGGAGAGGAGGACTATTAAGAGTGATATTATTGGTGATAGCCGAGAATTATTCATGGCGAGTTTAACCTTATCATTTATGAGTTTTTAGTGTCTAGGTTACATCCTAGAAATTTTTTTTAATGATTTTTTTCTGTTGTTATAACTTTTGATTTTTTTTTTTTTAAAATTTGGTTGCACGGAAAATTTATAAAATTGGTAATTTTATATTATTCACTGCACTGATTTTTGAAACGAGGTTTTATGTAGCACTTTTGTGTTAAAATTGATATGGAAGATGACTTATACTTTTAGTGAAGACACTTGGAGTGTGTTATGGATATGTGGATGTGTTAACGCGGACTGAATGTCGCGGGCGACTGAATCCGCGTCGAGTCTCAAGCTCTCTGGACACCGCGAATAACATCGCGCATGCGTGGTAGAGCATCCTCCTCCCTCTTAACCAACCCTGTTATTGTCTAGTTTGGAAATTTTATTAAATAAATTTTTTAGAAAAGAATATAGAAATTTTAAGTAATCGAGTTTTTTCTAGAATTCATTAGTTGCAGAAAAAATTCAAAAAATTTGACAAAAAATTATTTTAAACTAAAATCTGTTTTTTCTGTTTTTAGTCTATAATAAGTTAACAATTTTTTTATTTTTTTTTTTCAGTATTGCTATTATTTTTTTTTTTTCTTAAGTTTAAATTAATAACTAATTTTACAGTCACCTGATTTTTTTTTAAATAAAAAATCGAAAAATTAATATTTTAAAACAATTTTTTTTTAATTCTATTTCACGATACTACTCATGAAAATTTGTGAAATATTTATTTTAAATTGATGAATTAATTTTGAAATTTTTAATTTTCACCAAAATTGTGGGTCGACCGATAATCATTGATAAAATGTGTCGATATGTCTACTGATTTTTAGTTTGTTGTTTCAATAATTTTAAGTGTAAAAACAAAGAATTTAGAAAAAAAAATATTTTCGAAAACATCAATTGTTTTTTCTTAATTACTTTTTTATTAAAAAATTGAAATTTTTTTTTTTCATTATTATATTATACTTCCTAAAACATTTTAAAAAAAATATGTAATTATTCAAGAAAAATTCCATTTATCGATTATATGGGATGGATTGTTATGGAATTCATCAATTACCAATTTTGAATACAAAATTATTTAATTAGATAACAATTTTTAAAACATATTCCAAAATTACATTTTATTATACTAACATCAATCAAAATTTCAATAAAAAATATTCACTAAATGTATAAACTTGAAAAAAAAATTTTTTTGGTTACTGAATTTTATGTCTCGATTGTATTACCTTTGGTCATTTACCACAATTTTTCTAAATTTCAAAATTCTCCATTTTCTTGTTATTCCTTTAATTTTCTTAAACACAGCAATCTTAATTACTTTGAAATAGCATTTTGATTAAAATAGTTATATAAATTATTTATTCAAATTTTATTGGAATAGAATTTTAAATATTTAAGATTAAGGTAAAAGCCCCCATTATTGACACTATAAGAGTGACGGCGAACGTTTGAATTTTTTAACCGTATTCAAATTAATCTGTGTATTTTAATTTTTATACTTAAATAGTCGTTAATTAAATGACAAATATATTAATTTGAAATCAGCAACTCAAGTGTAGGTATTATTGACAGGGTGAAATGGTATCGGAGCCAACTATTGACACCCATAGACCCTATTATTGACAGGTGTCAACCCTATTATTCAGGTTTAATTGAAATATAAACTTCGAATATAATTTATTATTTACTAATAAACAACAATATTTTGCTCAGATAATTCTTTTTTTTATTATAAAATTACGCGAGACAACATGTAAACAAATCCGCTATGTATGGTAAAAAGGTTAAGTTTCTTAAAATTGTAGGCTGTCGCTAATTAAACACATGTTAATTTTTATGTACCTAATATTGACACCCGCTATTTTTAAATCATAATTAAAATTTATCAGCTTAAAACAATAAATCTAAGATTATTCAGAGTTTAAATAACCTCAAATAATTATGGATGATAGGCTTTTATCAGAATTATATAGAAAATTTCGCTATTTAAAATACGCTCTCTTTTAGCGAAATTGTTAAGAAATTTTAAATAAACTAGCCGTAGTGGTCTACTCGGAAAAATAAAATTTTTTTGCAGTTTATAATTAATACCCAGGCATAGAATTTTACTTTTTTCTTATTAAAAAATTTCTAAAAATTGATAAAAAGCAATGTTTATTGTGACTTAATCATAAAATTGATTAAATAATCAATAAAATAAAACAACATGTCAATAATAGGGGCTTTTACCTTATTTACTAAAAAACATTTCTTATTACTTCACAAATTTACTGAACTATTTTTAATATTTCAAAATTTTGTAAGTTATCAATTTTTCTATCATAATCATTACAAATTCATAAAAGATTAAAATTTTTCACGAAATATACATACCAAATTTAGTGTAATGATTTTCTTGACCAAAATTTTAAATAAGTTCGAAATTTCTTATTAAAAGAAAATGCAGTCTCCAAAAATTAAATAATAATAATATACAGCTTCATAAATAATAAAATTACAGCTTCATTACAAATTTCTAATTAGTTAAATAATTTATTTTTAATTTCATCTTTCAAGTTACTCAAAAAGTGTTTTTTTTTTTTTTAATAATAATATTTATTTTCAATAAAATGTTTATAAATTTATAAAATTCAAAATTTTTCTTAATATTCCGCACTAAGTAAAGTTCTAATTTCTTTTTCTTCTATCTAATGTCAAGAATATTCCAAACCTAATGATTCACCAAATAAATAATTACATTCTTAAAAAATCTGATTCAGAATTTTAGAAGTGAATATGAGTCATAATTTCTTTTCCCAATATTTCATAAAAAAAAAAAAAAAAAATCAAACTAGACTAATCCAATTAAAAAACTTAATCTCACCGATAAAGACGTTGAATCCGATGAATATTTACTCTGACCTTCGACATTTCTGGCTGACCTCGTATCCTAGCGGCTAAGAATATAATAACCTAGTAATATAACTTTGTATATTTTTAATTGCACTTTTTGTAGCATAAATTCAGAAATAAATGCTGAAGTTTCTTTACACAATAACTGCAAGAATAAAATATATAATAAATTATTCTATCAAATGCGATTGAACGACATGAAATTTGTCAGAGTAGATATTTTTTACAAATAATTGGCGTATTATTATTCTTATTGGACGTGAGCATGATGTGATTTATAAAACAAAACAAAAATAATAAATGTGTATCACGAATTACACTTGTTTATTTACCCGCGTGCGCGTATGCCGGAGGCTCATATCACATGATGAGTTACGATAAAAAGCGCGCGACACGAACTCTCAACAAACCTGTTTTTAAAATCGCTAATATATATGAGCTTAATATAAGTTGTATTACACATATGTACACCTATGTACTTTAATATATTACATATTATACGCACGGACACACATGTGAAGCTGTATGCTGTATACTAGGATGAGACAAGACGAGACGAGACCGTACATCGTACAAGAAAAAGTATGATCGTATCTTGGACTCAGTTTCGCAACAAAACGTTACGTTTCTGTTCAGACGTCACCGGAATTTCTGAATGGTAGAGTAACTCTAAGAGTGAATGGACTTGACTTTTTAATCATTTTATTTTTCTGTCCAACAAGGGAAGACACTAAGTCAGCTTTTTTTTATTTTTATTAAATATTATTTTAATATTTAAAACGCGATCGAGGTCGCCTAGAATTTATTATTTTATTTAATTATTCACGTGTTGTAATTAAATAATTATTTGTTAAGTAATTCGCTGACAGGTTCATAATTAATGGATTAAAAATTCAATTTTATTAATTATCAATTTAATGGGTTAACATTTTTTTTATTTAAAAATTCTTGCAACTAAATCGGGAAGAATTTTAAAAATACTATTATTAGTTATTTTTTTTTAAAACTCTCGGATTTGATTTTAATTTGCGCCTAGGAAAATAAGATTAGTGCTGTGACAATTTTGGGAACTCGACTTCTAATAAATTTTATATAATTTTCTATAAGTCACTTTAATTGAAACAACGTAATAATTAAGGTTAATAAATTCCGATATTGATGAATACATGCATTAAAAAAAATATTACTGGCTTCAAGAAAAATATCCTCTTGAAAATTTCTCTCTTCTTTCGAGACATTCAGTGCGAATTAATTTGAAAAAAGTAATGAATTAAAATCGAGAAAATAAAAGTAGCGGATGAATTGAAAAATTTCCTCATTTAAAAATTTTTAGAATTTAAAAAACCACTTTACGATTTTCAAACAAGATTTAAATAAATTTCATTCAAAATTTTTGAGGAAAAAAGTTATACAAATTTGGAATTTTAATTTTAGCTAAAATAGAAAAGGAAAAAAAATTTATAGGCAACTTTTCTTGTAGAAAATTCATGTAACTGAAGTTCAAGACGTTGTATATAACGGAAAATAATAGAAAATAAAAAATAATTTCAAAATTAAATTCAAAACTCATTTAACCATACAAATTCTCTATTTTAACGTTTCCACCGTCTAACATAATAATAAACGAATAGAAAAATATTTCGGTTAGTTATAAGTTATAATCATACACTGATAGAAAATTTATGTTGACTCAAGAGATATTTTCTTGATCTAATAAGAATTTATTTTTGAAGACAAATAATTATTTTGCTCTAAGAATTTCTTGTCTTGATTTAGATTTTCTTGGCTTAAGAGCTATATTATCTTTAATCGATACATTTAAGTTTTTCAATCAAAATAACATTATCGTTTAAAAAACTTAAAATAATTCATCAAAGTATAATTCAAAAACTAAATAGTCTTAAATTGTTATACCAAAAAAAAATTATTTCTTAGAAATAAGTAAATTAATTAATAACTCAAAAAAAAGCCATTCTTAACACAAGTCGGTAACATCTTGAATCAATGTTATCGCCTATCTTGAACCAAGAGACAAAAATTCTTCAAAGAAATATATCTATATCTAGTTTCAAGGTTCAAGTTTTGAAGAAAAAGTTTCTTGAATCAAGATTGTTTTTCTATCAGTGTAATCATAATCAATAATTGAAAAATGTATATGCGGTAAATTCATCAATCGGAAATTCATTAAACGGTTTTAGTCAAAATCGAGCAAGCTCCGTAGAAAAAAATGATACAAAATCAATTTTTACAAAATTTATCATAAGGTTATAGATCAAAAAAGTCGCAGCTCAATTTGAATGGATTTCTGACTTTTTTTGAGCTATTTTGTATGGAGAAACAATATAGTTAATTATCTTCCCTAAGAATTCTCAAACTGACATCAGATCAAAAGTTCAGCTTATCCTGATGATAGTCATGCTAACTGAAAATCGCCGTTGATTTGGGTCTGCATTCGGCAACCAGCTTTAACGTAAAGAGTTGAAAAAGCAAGAGTTTCAGTTAAGTTGACAGTATGAATTGCTCTACAATTTGACGTTAAAACTTAATTATGCACAAAAAAAAATATTGTGTAAAATCAACACAATTTTTATGTTAAATACGGTCGATACAAAATTTGTGTTGAAGTTCTACAACAAAGCAACACACTTTATGTTATTTTAACATAAACTTTGTGTTATTTTATCTCAGACTATATTTATCATAAAACACTGATAAAAAAGTTAACTTCATTAAAAAAGAAAAATCTTAAACTAAGCATACCATTTTGAAGAAAATAATTTTCTTGAGGTAAGAGAAAAAATTCTTGAGACAAGAAAAATTTACCTGAATCAAGAATAATTCCTTGACTCAAGAATTTTTCTTCTTGATGCAAGAAACTTATTTTCTTCGAAATGGTATTCTTGGGTCAATATTCTTTCTCTTGAGTCAAGTTATTTATTTTATCAGTATGCACAATATTTTTTACTGTGTGCAAGTTCTTTTAGTAAAGTTGTACTGAAAGGGTTGATTGCAAGTTTGATGTTAACTTTCATTACAATTCCGGCCGTAGATTTTCATTAAATTAATGTATACAATTTTGTTTCGGAAAGAATTTCCGTAAATTTGACTAAAATATTTAGATAAACAACTTGCGAATTTTCATCCCAAATCTAAAAATCTTTTTTTCAACAAGAAAATTACTGTGAGAATAATTTTGATTTCTTCAATTAAAAAATAAAATTGTTGAAAATTTTCAACAAATTATTTTTTTGTCACAACAATATCCATTTTTTTCAAAAGAAATTTTTTCCCTCAATGTTAATTTATGACTAAGCAAAAATGATTAGCATAAAAACAATAACTTGTTGCCCGGTTGAGATTTAATCAAAAGAACAATCTATAAATTGTAATCATCCTGTGATTAATCGTTCAAATGAAAAGAACATTTTTAAGAGAATTAATATATAATAATTCATTTAAATTCATAACGGAATAAACTTTCACTTCATCCGAATAACAACAAGGTGTTATGTCGATTTATCTACTCAATTTCTCAACTAAATATTTTATTTATTGATATAAATAACAGCCCAGCCTCCGTTAGGCCAACCGCGACAATAATAATAATTATAATGACCAACGGTGAGTGAATTAAATTATTAAGTACCGGGTTAATTTGCAAAAATTAAAAATCTCTATAAATCTCGGTAACTAACGACATAATTGTCTTATTTCCAAGTTGATCACTCAATCGGTGCTTACTGCTTATATGGTAACTTAATTACACTACACACATTACAAATTACGAGTGCAAAAAAATTTATCTTATTTATTTCTCTAATTGCGAGTTTTCTTGAAATTGTTCAACTATTTATTATCAATAATATATATCTTTATAATATAATTCTTATTCATACATACTCTCTCTTTACCTTCAGAAAGTCATTAAATGATCTCGCAATTTTATATGACTGGTAATTTTTTTTTGTTTGTTTATTTACTTAATTATTTATTTAATTTCAAAGTGCTTATTTTAATAGATTTGTGTATCTTGACTGAATTACGGGTTTTTAATTTTTTTTATCTAGAATTTAAATTTTTTATTAAACTAATCAGCAAAATATTTCAGAAAATTATGTTCAAAATTCGAGAAAAATTATGCACTAATAAAAAAATTGTACTTAATTTGAAAGTCAAAATTGTGACTCAAAAAAATAATTCTAAAAATTTTTTTTAAATATAGCGGGAAAATTCTTGGATCAAATAAAATTTACTTTTATTTTAAAAAACAGTAACTAATTTTTCTTAAATTTTTTTCAATTTATCTTGTTAGAAAATTTAGTTTTTCGGAAATGAATCAATAACTATTGTTGATATCAAAAATCTAAAAAAAGATGCTTGAAGAGGAGAAAATTTCTGAAAAAAAGTCTTGACTCCTGGAACTGTAGCTTTAGAAACAATAATTTTTATTTAATGTTGAAAATAGGGTTCCGCGCGACTTTTGTCACACGGCCGTGCCGATGCTAAAATACGACAGCAGTTGCGTGGAACCCTAAAATAGGGTTCCGCGCGACTTTTGTCACACGGCCGTGCCGATGCTAAAATACGACAGCAGTTGCGTGGAACCCTATTTTTAACATTAAATAAAAATTATTGTTTTTCAAGCTACAGTTCCAGGACTCAAGATTTTCTTTCAGAAATTTCCTCCTCTTTAAGGGTCTTTTTTTAGATTTTTGATATCACTAATAGTTATTGAAAATAATAATAGTTGTCTGAAATTTGATTTTTTTTTTCAATTTTATTAATGTTTTGTACTATTTAAATATCAATAAAAAATTTATAAATAAATGGATGCTATAAATATTTGTTGTTTTTTTTTTTACCACAACCGAAAATACACCTAAAATTCGGGCTTTTAAATCAGAATTATTCTACATAGTAAAAAATTTTGCATCATTGCGTAAAAAAAATTTTATGTTAAATATTTAACACTATTTTGTGTTGATTTAACAGAATAAATGTTAATTTTTGGTCAACTTTTTGTCGGCCTAATATTTATAATTTTCCCGTAGGGAATAAAAATTGTTTTATCATATTAAATATAAAATTTAAGAAATGAAAAAATTCAGGGGCTTACTGGATCGATAAATGATCAATAATCTGCCTGAAAAAGATTTTTATCACAATTTTTCAATTAGTTATGCAATAGTTAATTAATAATTTTTTTCTACTTGAACATGAACATTGCAGGTGTGATAATTGTTAAACTACAAATTTGAGATTTTTTTCCTCTCTTGAAATAATATTTTTCAGTTTTTTATTAATAATTTTCGTTTTTGCAAAATTAAAAACTTACATTAATCATCGAAAAAAATTTTTTTTTTCAAATTATTATTAATGATCCCTTTCTATGTTGTCAAAAGCGACATATAAAGAATTTTAGAAAATTTTTATCTTGTATTGTTTAAAAAATTGTTATAAACAAATGCGTTGTTTATAAGATAGTTGAAAATTTTTGTATGGAATTTAAATCTTTCATACAAATAATGATTTTTAAAAGAAAAATTGTTCCTTAAAAAAATTTTTTTATTGCCTAAAAACGCATTTGTTAATAACAATCATTTTCTCCCACTTCTAATTAATATTAAGGAACCATTTTTTTTAATCATTGTTTGTTTTTCTTTTCGATATAAAAAAAAAAATTCGTTTCATCCAATTTTTCATTGTTTATGTAATAAACAATTTGTTATAAACAAATCAATTTTTTACCTTATATTTTTTTTCTTATTCTACTTATTATCACTGAAACAGATATGGTTTTGTTTTTTTTTTAATATTTTAATATACGTTTTCTGTAATTTGGTCATTCTTACTTCGTTTAAATAAATAATAGTTTAAGTGAACAATGAGTATATAAATTTTTAATAAAAGGAATAAAATAAATCAATTTTGAACACTTATCTAAAGAATATGTTACTTAAAGTAAGACAAATTATCGTTTGAATAAGAAATTTGAATAGAAATTGCCCTTACTTAAAATAAAGGTAAACTAAGAATAATAAATAAAATTTCACTTACTTTTAAAAATCCGAACAATGAAGGATTAAACTCTCTTACTCTTACTAATTGTCATAAGAGAGGGTGTAGAGCAGTAGGTAATTGATTCTTAAAATTTACATTACATATTATGACGCTCAGGTCAAAAATGCAGCTGTGGCGCCAGCCTTTACCTTAAGAACCTCTTTGTCTACCCAATTCATTACACAGGTAGCTTCATGCAATAAAAGATGCAGAAATTAAATGAAAATTTATGGTCTTTAAGACTTATTCACTAATGAGATATTCAATATGCATTGCTATACTTAAGTCTTAATGACAATGACAAACATTATAGAATCTTTGAATTGCTATTGGCCCTATCGAAGCACCCACTCCATAGAATTTGTCTATATGAGGTAGAATATCAGTTGAAAAATCATTTCTTACCGAAATTTTGTTTCGTGAACATCATAACTTCAAAAAATCTGTTAAAGTGTTCAACACATCATTTAAAGCTAGTTAAACTCAGTTTAACTCAAACAGTGTAAAACAAACATCAATATCTACGTTTGTGTAAAAAGATCTTGTGGTTTTTAAAAAACGAAAAGTACTACTTAATTATTATGGCTACAAGCAAGGTTTTTGTTGATGCTATTGTATCAGGAGATGTAAAAACCGTTAAAAAAATATTGAAGGTGCTGAAGTCTAGTAAAAATAATAGAACGTGCAGTGATGATTTAATATCATTAGCTATCAAAAATAACCAATCAGTAATTGCAAAATTGCTGATCAAACATAGTGCAAATACAAACAAAAATGTGGATAACTCCTTAACAATCTCGTTATTTCACGCCATTCGACGCAAAAATTTGAAAATCGTAAAAAATCTTGTGAGAATGGGTGCAAACGTGAATTGGAAATCGAAATCGGGTATGACTCCACTTATGGCAGCTGCAGAACGAAGCAATTTAAAAATACTATCATTTATTTTGGAACAAAATCCCAATGTAAATGATGTTGACGCTTCGGGAAATACTGCTTTGCATTATGTGTTTAATTATGTGAATAAAAAAGATCAATCAAGGTATTCTTACTCACATACTCCGGAAGGTAGTAACGACGCTGAAAGAATTATCTTGTTACATGAAGCTGGAGCTGACTTAACCGCTAAATGCTCGTTTAAAAACCATCCACATTTAACAAGTATTCTGGATTTGGCAATCTACATGGGATCCAACGCAGGAGTTACTTATCTTCTCTACAATACTCATGTGGGTCTTAAGCAGCTAGACTATTCCAAAATAGAGCTAGCTGCTTTTGAGGAAAACGCCGTTGACGAGGATGTACGGACCAGCGCAGAGTATGTTGAGCTGCTAAAAGAACAAAGCTCAAATATTCGATGTAATTTGGCCTTATTTATAATTAATCGACATGAAATAGGCATTCATGCAACCGAAGATACTCTTCAGAAAGTTCATGGCTTTCTGAAAGAGGAGGAAGAGGAAAACTCACGGTTCTTTGGATACTATCGTGAGCTAAAGAAATTAATGATGGAGAGTCGTCAATTTCTCGAAGGCACAAGAATGGGATTAAACAGAATCACCTACTGGAAGTTCATCACTGGAAACCGAGAAGATTTAGTGAAGCTTCTTTTCAATGATGATTTTTTGTCTCAACCATTATCAAAAGAGCTGGAAGAAATTCCTACGGATCATCGATTTTTTTATTATCGAGAACCATTAAAGGACAATTTTGATTACGCAATTGGGAAAAGCAATGCTCTACGACAAGTTAGTGAAGAAGTCAACGATCTTTTTAGTGCAGTGTTGCCATACGATTGCTGTGAACATATCGTTCATTTAATGTCAAATGATGAAGTGAAAAGTTTTATAAAAAATCTTAATCCGCCTGACATTTCGGACTTTGATTTTTAATATTACAATGTAAATTTTACTTATGATTTTATTTTGTAATTGGACTTTATCATTTTTAACTCGTGCCAATGTCTTTGAAAATTCAATTGTTTCAAATTAAACAGAATCGTATC